GATTTTTTTTTTTGATCCTTATTTGTTTTTTTTTGATCCTCCACCCGTTTCAGCTTGGTGCCAGCTTGAAGCCTCATCTTTTGTGAAGGTTGTTCGTCGGGAATGGAAGACCAAACTGAACATGAAATGGACATTACGGGAGATATCAAGAGTTACAATTATGCCGTTGAGGATTATTTCAGGGACGCTGAAGGGATCCAATACGGCATTCCCTACTAACAACCAGCAAGTTTTGGGAAGGATGGATCCACGATCCACTTGCTTCGCGTCAGCTCTCAAAAAGGCGTCGGCGGTTTCCAAGTAAATGGTGGCCTCGTGCTTCAGAGGTCAAGTATCACCGTCCAGCATGCTGCCGCGGAGATTTTTGGTGCTGCGCTTGTTGGTGGTGAAACCTTTGCCACAGACGGCTCCCTTCTGCGTGTGTTGCTGGCCTTTGCCTCTGCAGGAACAGCAGGCATATCTGCAGGGGGAAACCTGCAAATCAACAACGGCTCAATGGTTCAAATCGAGGGAGCCCATGGCAGCACTGCGGCACTGTACGCGAGGTCAGACCTCATCGTGGAAGGGCACTCTGCAATCCAAATCTCCCACGTCTCTTCGTCCGGCAACTGGGCCCTTTCTGCCGGTATGTTCACTCAACACCTGCGAATCATTGGCAGCTCAACAGTGTCTATATCGCATGCGTCCAGCCGCGGTCGTGCAGCAGGAATTCTTGCCGATGACATCTTGCTGGCCGAGGGTTCCCTGCTTTCCCTACATAATGTGTCTGCAGAAGAAGGAGGAGGAGGCTTCTACTCAAAAGGTTCTGTTGAGATTACCAACTCATCGGCCATTAAAATCTCCCAAGCGAGATCTGGTGGGCACGGCGGGGGATTCTCTGCCGGAAACCTCACAGTTGTCAACCTCTCTACAGTGGACGTGGCTGATGCCACATCAGAACAGCAAGGGGGGGGCTTCAGTGCCACGACGCTTGATGCCTTTGAAGTCAGTTCTTGGAAGGTTTCATTACTTTTGACCGTCATGGCATCCACAACTGCCTCCACCGTTTCTATGGCTCCTTGACAACAGCTAAGGGCAGTAAGAGTCTTGGGTGGCTCCATCATCAACATCACACATTCCCAGGCCGCTTCCTTTGGTGGAGGCTTTTTTTGCAAGAAAGATCTTACCATTGCTGGAAGTTCGAAGATCATCATTGCAGGGTCCAGTGCCGGCAACAGTGGTGGAGGATTTCATGCAAGCCGAGTGAATGTGTGGGCTGGGTCCTTCCTCAGGATTTCGGGTTGCAGTGCAGAGCAGCAGGGAGGAGGATTTCGAAGCTACTCATTCGCGTTGAACAGCTCGGAAGCCCACCTCCGCGATTGCGTTGCAGAGCAACTTGGGGCTCAGTTGGTGTGCTTTTCTGTGGAGCCCAAGCCCTGCACCCACCTCTTAATTCTTAAGCCTTTTTGTTTGTCTTCTTTTCTGACCCTAAACCCTAAACCCTAAAGCCTAAATCCTAAACCCTAAGCGAGTAAGGAGAGCTGGAGGTGGCTTCCTTGCAGATGGGGAAGTGATCATCTCGCAAAGTTCTCGCCTGCAAATCAGGAACTGCGCTGCAAATCGGGACGCCGGCGGCTTCAATGCTCAGCGCTTCGTCCAGGTGGGTTCTTTGCAAAAAGTGGAGCCATTATTTGTGGGTGTGTTGGGTTCTACTTGTGCCACATTTGTTTGCATTCTGCATGGTTCTGCAACAGCTCTCGTGACTGGAGGGATTTGTGGCCATTTTATATTGGGGTTATATTGGATAATGGAAAATGAAATGGAAACGACTATTTAGGGTTTAGGATTTGTAGGGTTTAGGGTTTCAAGGGTGTGGGGTTCAGGGTTTTTGGTTTTAGGTAGAGTAGGCACACTGGCAAAGGTGATGGAGAACTCCACGGTGGAGATGCAAGGAGTCACAGCTGGCCGGTATGGAGGGGGCTTCGCTGCCTTTGGCGACATTCAGGTCAATGCATCTAAACTGCTCATTGCGAATGCTACTGCAGTTGCATGGGACGGCGGAGGTTTCATTGCCGACAAGTCTATGCAGGTGGGCCTGTCTTACCAGTGAGGGGAGCGCTTGCTTTGTCTTGATATCCAGGGTTTGCACTACACTTTCTTCGTGAAGCATGTTTCGGGACGATCCGCAAGGTTTCCTGTTGTAGGGCGTATCACGCTGTGGCAGTGTTGGTTTGGAGAGGCCTCTCCCTGACAAGTAGCGTAGACTCTCCATGAGTCACCCAGGCTTATTGCTGGTTAGTAGGAATATGGGAATATACCATATCAGGATTATATTCCCATACTCCCTACTGATCACTACTAAGCAGAGAGGTGGTGGAGAACTCGGAGGTGGAGATCTTGGGAGTCATTGCAGGCTCCCATGGAGGGGGCTTCGCTGCCTTTGGCGACATTCAGGTCAACGCATCTAAACTGCTCATTGCGAATGCTACTGCCGGTAAGAGTGGTGGGGGCTTCAATGCCCAAAGCTTTGTTCAGGTGGGCCACTGCGGAGATTTAGCAAGGGATGCATGATGTTGCGGGATCTTTTTTGTAACGCATCACTGTGAACATTTCGTGGTGCGCAGACAAGGTGCAGGGAGCGAGCATTCTTATCAGCGAGGCTTCTGCTGGCAAGAACTGCGGTGGTTTTATGGTGAACGGATCTCTGCAGGTGACTACATCCCAGCTTCACCTCAAGCAGGCCAAGGCTGCAAGAAGTGGAGGAGGGTTTTGCGTCGAGGAAGATACCGAGCTCCACACCTCCAGGCTTGACGTCTCTGAAGCCCAAGCGAGCAGCGACGGTGGCGGCATGAATTTGCATGGCAAGCTTCACCTCCACGGGTCGTTTGTGACAATACAGAGCAGTGGGAACGTTCCTGAGCCTCGAGAAGAGAGTGACTGCAGCTGCTCCAGCTCCGAGAGCACGAGCCAAGCACCTGCAGCTGCTTTTCGCGGTGGTGGCCTCTATGCCCAGGCTATTGTGGCAGTGGACTCCGAGATCTTCGTGTCGGGCCTTCCAGAGGCAGACCTCGCAGTGGAGGGTAGCGGGGCTTTTGTGAAAGGACCGGTCCAACTTGTCAATTCAACTCTGCAATTTCGTGAGCTGCTGGGAGCCACTGCGCTGACATCGCACTGCTTGGAGCTCTCCGGCTCGGCGCTTTCACTGCAGGGTGCAACCGACGTGGGCCTCTCCCTGCAGAACTCAAACTGCTCTTGCAACAAGACGCTCGACGTGAGGGTTCCTCACCTGAATTGAAAGTGGTAGTTTCCCAAAATTAGGGGACCCCAATATAGACCCCAATATATTATGGTCCTTATTATGGGGACCCCAAAATGGCACCCCTAATTTTAGGAAACCCCAAGTGTTCTTGTTTTGCAGCCATTTATCTGGTTCCTGATTGTTCCTGGGCTCACGGTTTGGACCGCTACCCTGCACCCAAAGCAATCTCAAACCCTTAGCCCTGAGACCTAAGCTTCTAAACCCTAAACCCCGAAACCCACCCTAACTCTAAACCTTCAACCCCTAAACCAAACCCTTAACTCCAAACCCCTAACCTCCCAACTCTAACCCTGAATCACCTAAACCCCCAAACCCTAACCCTAAATCCCCTAAACCCCTAATCCCCTGAAACCCCCCAAACCCTAAACCCTAAACCCCAAAACTCTGCGAGGCCGGTGACTTTGTGGAGGCCTCCGGGATGTCCTCGGCTTTCTTGACAGCAGAGGCCTGCAGTGAGGAAGCCCTCGAGCCTTGGTGTCCTTTTTTCGTTTTGGGTGGGTTAGGGTTTGGGATTTAGGGTTTAGGGTTTAGGATTTAGGGTTTGGGATTTAGGGTTTAGGATGAAGATGCAATGGAAACTAGGGTTCGATGGGAATGTATGGGGTTTAAATAGGGTTTGGAATCTCCTTTGAGGGGTAGGTTTGCACATTTTGTTTGATCTTTACTACCCTGAATTTCTGTGCAATCCCCGTAAGCCATACAAATCTGAGTTTTATAGAGCCCCGTAAACTGCCCTAGCCGAGGTGTAGGGCAATCTGTTCAAGGTTTATAGTTAGAGAGGCAGGTGTGTTGTAAGGAGCTACGAGGATGTCTTGAGCAAACTAGGGAGGAAACCTTAAACCCTAAACCCTAAACCCTGAAGCCTAAACCCTAAACCCTAAACCCCAAACCCTAAACCCTAAACCCTAAACTCAGGAAATCTCGGGCGTTCACTTCCTGTCCTCGGGAGCCATGGTTGCTAAGACCTCAGCCCCGACTTTGCTGCGCAATCTGACCGTGGACTACCTTCAGGCCCTTTTAGGGGTTTAGGGTTTAGGGTTTTGAGTCTAGGGTTTAGGGTTTAGGGTTTTGGGTCTAGGGTTTAGGGTTTAGGGGTTAGGGCTTTGCATTAATAATAATAGTGGTAGGATCGTAAGACTATTGTAATGTGGTTATATAGGGTTTAGGGGGTGTTTTTTTGTTGCCGCTCGCCTTTCTTCTTGCTTCTTGTTACTGGGTCCTTGTGGCAGGAATTCCTGTATATTTCCAAATTAATGCCCGCAATCCCTGAGTTTCGAACTCTTTGTTGTGCTCCGAAGGAATGAGGTCCTCTCAAAAGCAGCAGGAAGATTAGGGGAACTCAGCCAGCATGGGGGGCTATGCTGAGCTATTGGCTTTTCAGGAAGATTTCTCCTTGTTGAAGTGAAGCCTCCACACTGTGACATCCAAAACTCCAAAAAGCCCACACTAGCCAACCCACAAAACCCCCTTAGCCCCCCATGTGTCCCACTGTTGATTCAAGAAATCATGCCTCGTCTTCAATGCAGTGGGCCCTAAGAATGATATGGTATTCTCCCTAAACAGGGGGACCCCGTTGTAGACCAAAAACCCTAAACCCTAGCCCCTAAGGGGGACCCCCGTTGTAGACCGCCCCAAAATGTTACCCCTAATTTTATGAGACCCCGAACTAGAGCAGTGTGGAATCCAACTCAACAGCTTTGGCCCGGCTTAGGGTTTAGGGGTTAGTGGTTTAGGGGTTTAGTGTTTAGAGTCTAGGGTATAGCGGTTAGGGTTCCCTAAGCCCTTCTAAATCCTACCCCAAAAGAAGTCTTCGTGCCTTACCTGAACCTTAGAACTTCAATCTTAACCCCAAAGCCCTCGCCCTCAAACTCAAACCCAGCCCCTAACTCTAAATCCCAGCTCAACTCTAGGCTCTACATCCATATGAGCCATAGTCTAAACTCCTTAAAGGGGGTTATATAAGGGATTATATATGGGACTACTAAAGGGCTTATTAAGGGGGATACTAGGAGTTTAGACTATAGCTCATATAAACCGCTCCAAGACCCAAGTTCGCATTTCATTCCCAATTTTCTTTTAATTTCATATTCCATTATTGGTGTATGAAGGATCTGGCATGTGGGATTTTCTCAAAGTCACGCCTGTATGGTCTTTCGAAGGGACCCCTTAGTCCTTGCATAATCCAATATATCCCTTCATTCCCTGGGGCGCCATATTTTGAGAAACACCCAAATGGAGCGCACGCCCTAAACCACCTCGGCACTAAACCTTCCACCCTAAGCCTCACATGCACCTCACCTGCGTTTGACTTCGGGCAGAGTATATTGTGCGCCGTACGGTGCATGCATCTCCTGTCCTCAGTGGATGAAAGTCCGAGGGGTTGCAAAAAAACCTTAGAACCCTTAAGCCCTAGTAACATATGAGCTATAGTCTAAACTCCTTAAAGGGGGGTTATATAGGGGAATATTATAGGGGTTACTAAGCGGTATACTAGGAGTTCAGACTATAGCTCATATGCGTATGGCAGGCCTTACAGGGCGAGACCAGCCTGCTGACGGCACCGAACTTTACAGCTGAGCACGTGGAGGAGGGGCTGCAGGGTTTACTGGGTTACTGTTGACGAACTTATGCTTACTATAGGGGTATGATAGAGGGTTTAGGGTTTAGCGAGAAGGAATGTAATTTAAGTTACACTATTGGGGAAACCCTATTATTTACTATACATACCCATTATGGCAAATTTTTCAGTTCCTTGACAGCAACCCAGTTTCGGGGTTGCCGTGAAGGAGCTTATAATCAGCTTGAAGTAGCATGGCCGAACAGGAAATAACGTGGTTTAGCTGTTGTGGGAACTGAGTTTCATGTCCTTAAAAGCAATCCGGATTTTGGTGTTCAGAGGTTGGGTTTCCGGGTTGGGGTTTCAGGAAAAAGGGGTTCGGGCCCTAAACCCTAAACCCTAAGCCGCGTAGTCTGCTCAGTAGCTGTATCTCAGCCACCTCGACTGGCAGGTAAAGGATTGATTGGAGTTGATCTTGTTTAGGGTTTAGGGTTTAAATCCTAAACCCTAAACCTTGTCAGGTCAGCTGCAGCGACTGCAGCCATGGGGTGACTTTCGGCGCCCGCACAGCCGAGCTCTTTGTCTTCAGTCTCCCACGCCTCAGCTGCCCTGCTGCTGCTACCCTCAGCGACTGGCTGTTTGTTAAGAGGGGAGCCAGTGGGTCGTGTGGACTATCAGCATAGTAGCTCCGAGACTACTGTCCACATGAGATTAGTGGGCCTAGTTTTCCTTACGACTCTATTTGCTTTTTCTTTCTTGCTTCCGTACGACACAGGCAATGGCTTCACGAATCCGTGTGGATGCCCAGACCACCAAGTAGTGGCCTCGAGATATATTGACGGGGTTAGCCCCTGGCAGGCATATGACTATTGCCTGTTCTGCCCACGTCATCACGAAAGTCGGCAGGGCGTGTGCTACAAGTGCCCCATTCACATGGCCCTTCAGCTGTTGTCGTGTGCGATGATCGGGGTTGCTTTCGTAACCTTTCCTCCAGATAGTAGCGAACCGTAACTTCCAGACGGCCGGGGTATAGTAACATAGAGATGGCCTTTTTGAATTTGTAGCGCAAGGCATGGTCTCATGGTGGTGGCCGGCCGTGTGGATTCTTCCCCCCTCTGCTGGCCCTCGTGCCATTGCTGTTGGCTACTGCCATCTACATCATATCAGCAGCGGCTGCTTTGGGGATCCTCTCAGCGCTGCTTGCGATCGTGGATGCGCAAACGCTGGATGGTAGCTTCATCATGACAGTGCGGGGCCCAATTTGTCGACTTCCGCACTTTGCAGCTCACTGGGTTCACCGAAGCCTGTCGTACGACATTCGTGACACCGGCCTTCACTGGCTGGAACAAGACATGAAGCACGCCGCAAAGCTGGAGAGCCTCAGCCGGGACACGCTGCGTCTCCCCCCTGAAGCTGTGCAGCCACCCTTCTCCTGTGAAACAAGCAGAGGCTTCCTGAATCCTTCAGATTCTGGGTTGCTGTTAAGGAACTTAAACTAAGTTACCATAATGTGTATGTATAGTAAATAATAGGGTTTCCCCAACATAGTAGCTTGAATTAAGCTCCTGAACAGCAACCCAGGATTATGCGCCGCTGCTTACGCAGATTTGGCTGCTGCTCTCTCTGTTGCTCCTCTTCCCTGCCGTGCTTGCTGTGGCGGCCGTTTGGGAGAATGGCGTCTGGCATGTGCTTGTGACTTGGTGGCCTACCAGAATAGGCTTTTCTGAGGCCCTCTTCCCCTTGGAAAGCCACCCTGAACCACTACACCCTAAACCCGAAATCCTGAGGCAGCCAACCAAAGCCACAAGCCCTATACATCTTCAGCCCGAAAGAGCCGGTATTCCTCAGACAAAAACATCCCCACATCCAACACCCTAGCCATGAACTCTGAAACCAACTCCTAAACGAGCTCTAGTCTAAACTCCTTAGAGGGGGTTATATAAGGGATCATATAATAAAGGGTTTAGGGTCTAGGGTTTAGAGTTTAGGGATCTCACCTCCTGAAAGAGGTTACATACGGTATATCGGGGATTATATAGGGAAGAATTATAGCGCTCATTAAGGGAGATGCTTGGAGTATAGACTATCGCTCAAATGATTAACCATAAACCCTAAACACTTGCCCACAACCCCTCAATGCCCACATACTGCAGTACTGAGCGAGGCTACGACCTTCTTTCTTGCCATGCCAATGGTTCTTGGCGCGGCAGTTCTTTACGGAGCCCACAAATGATCGGAGTTGAGGGGTTGTGGCTTTAAGCCTCGAGGGATTTCAGGTCCAGGGTAAAGTGTTTAGGGATTAGGTTTTAGGGCCTTGGATGCTGCAATTGATGCAAGAGCTTAACTATGTATGATGCAGTATGGATGTTTGGGCAAACCCAAAGCGAGGTGCTTCACGAAGATCATTGCCTTTTTTTGGGGGTACATAAGGGCACAATCCCGGACTTGTTTAAAGAGTTCCCCAGACCCTCTAAGCCCTTAACTGAGACCTGGAACTGTGTGTTGAAACAGCCAAGCTCTGCGATCTACAAGGGTTTAGAGTGCGACTTGAGCAGCTGGCATCAGATTCCCCCAAACTTTCTGCTGTGTGTGTCATTGCAAGTTAACTGCACAATCTTAAGATCCTATCGATGAATTAATGTTGTGAACTTTCATGCAGCATTCTATGTTTTTAGGTATTTGTGCCTCATTCTTTTTCTTGTCTCATCACGCGCGGAGCGCTTGAACTCGAGAGGAGTGCTTGCGCGCTGCTGCTGGGAGAGGACTCCAATGCAACGTGCTTGTCGGAAGTACATGCGCAAGGTGGGTGGGGGTCTGGGGATATAGGACCCCCATATAACCCCTATATTTATATATATATACACCCCATTATACTATACTAGTGGGGGTCTGGGGATGTAGGAGTCTAGGGTTTAGGGACCCCGGAGTTCCCAAGAGTATACATTGAGTCGAGTGGCACTTCGCTGTTGAAATGGCTTCCAGAAAGGGCCATAGTTCTAACGCCACCGCGCGTGTACCTTTCTTCTATGTGTTCGACCGTGGCACGAGGTCTACAGTTTACAGGTCGGACAAAAGCGTCAAGAATTGGGATAGATCATGCCTGCATACCCTAAACCCTATATAACCCCAATATGCATATATATATATAAACCCTATTATAATATATTAGTCTCCATTCTATTTTTCATTATTCCAATATAACCCCTATATAACCCTTCTTTCAAAGCCTGTAACCCTACACCAAAATCCTGAGTCCACCTCTTCTGGCTTCTACATTAAAAGAAAGGCTTGGGTAATGCCTTTTTACAAAAGGGTTCCTCAAACGGACTTTTTCAGGGTTTAGGGTTTGGACTCCTGGGATATCTACCCTAAACCCTAAACCCTAAACCCTAAACCCTACACCCAGAGTTGAAGCCCAGGTCCTGAGCCCCCCAAGCAGCCCTAAGGCCCTAGCAATTTGAAGGGTTTAGGGTTTAGGGTTTAGGAAGAACATCTCGAAGAGTTGTGGGTAGGTGGTGCAAAAATGTTAAGGAGTGTGCAGAGGCTATGGAAGCATTGTCTGGGTTTTCTCAACTTTTGGTTACCTTTCGGCTCGGCTTTCAAGAAAGAGGGTCTTTGCAGGCTAGTTTGCATGTGGCGCAGCCACTTAGAAGCTCCAGTGCTGAATCCGATGAATATCTTCTACATGTTATGAGCACTTGTACCCAATACATAATAGGAGACTTTGCATCGTACTTTAACAAGATTCAGGGTGACAGTTCAGGTGCGAAGATTTTAGCACCTTTCCCGAATTCCTGTCTAGACCAGCTTGAACGATTACCGATGCTACTCCCTAACATGTTTTGCGTACTGGTAGTGTAATGTAGTCCGTATTTTGCGTGCTGGTAGTGTAATGTAGTCCGTAGCCCTCTCCAAACGTTCAGACCTCTACATTTCACCCTAAACCCCAGAAGATAAAGTCTTAACCTAAACCGCAAAATCTCACCCCATACCCCCTAACCTTTAGGGTTTCGAGTTTAGGGTGTAGGGTGACTCCCCAAAAGATAACGCCCAAACCCGACCCCTCCCAAATGAGGTGAAAGCTGGGAGCGGCAACGTTGCGGAGTGCGACGACAAGCCTGAACATCAGGGATTGAGTGTGGACACGCTCTGGGAGACTTGAAAGGTTCAGTTTAGGGTTTAGGGTTTACAGGGTTTCGGGTCTGGGGTTCTGGGATTAGGGTGTAGGGTTAGGGGTTTAGGGGGAAGGATTCGGGTCGGAGAAATGAGCGTGCGGGCTTTGCGAGCCAGGGTTTTTGTCACAAACCACTGCTCCTTTCCCTTGAAGTTGCCGGCTTTATTTGGGCCAAAGCAATACTCCCCCACTATGAGGGAATTCACCCTCGACATTCAACCTTGGGTAAGTTAGGGTCTTCAAATTCAGCTTTCACTGTTTACAGCTCTGGGTTGTGGATTAATCTTGGAAATCATGGACATGACCAAATTCCAAGGAGCTTTGGGAACACTTCGAGCGCTTCATCCAGTGCCGCAATATGCATCCTACGTTCTATCAGAAGAATTTTCACGCCTTTTGTTTTCTTTTTCCCAAACGGAGAGCTATTTCTCCCCTGACTCCTGGGGAAGAGAGGCATTTCGTGGTGGCGAACATCGTGCTTCCCCTGACTGCTGAGAGGCCGCTGGTAGTACTGAAGGAAGGAGTGCTGGTAACAGCAACAATACTGTCAAACCAGCCATTCAATACACGTCATAGTAACCCTAAACCCTGAATCCTCAACTCTAAATCCTAAACCCAAAGCCCGAGTACCATACCCTAAGCCCTCCTCCCAAGTACTAGACCCTCAACTTCCATTCCCTATCAGCCAATCAGCCGTTGACTTTCTGGGGGAGTGGATCCCCACAAGAATCCCGATACATACCCCTATAATCATCCTTATAATCACTCCTGAACCAAAAACCCTAAACCCTAAACCCTAAATCCCAAACCCTAAACCCTAAATCCCAAACATTCATTCCTATACCCTAAACCCTAAATCCCATATTCACTTCCACACTCCCCCTTAAGCACTAGCAAGTTGAGAGGCGAGTGTCCTTCGTTCGCCTTTGGGGAGGCCGCGTCGTGGATTTCTTTGTTTCCCACAGCTTCTTTGGCTTTGGGGTTAGGGTTTTTCGATTTAGGGTTTAGAGTTTACAGTTTGGGGTTT